CGGGTACAGGCGGTCCAACACTTTTTGGGGAGTGTGGTCCTGACCACTGTAAATGTGTATGGTTTTGTGTCGGGGCTTACCTTCCCTGACGCAAAAGCAAGGACAGACAAATTGCTCTCAGATATCACCCGTGAAGTGGTGATCGGGGGCCGAGGCCCGCGAGCAATATCGGGTGACTTCAATCATTGCCAATCTTCGCTTGAACAAGTGGCAATATGGCAAAGCCTGGGATGGCCGGAAGTTCAAGAAGCAGCCAGAAGGTGGTGGTGCCGAGAGCCGTGCATGACGTGCAAAGGCACAACGCAAAGAGACTACATCTTCTTATCACCGGAGGCACTAGCCTTGCTGGCTGATGTTCGCGTTCAAACCGATTTTGCTGAACACGCAACTGTAATTGCTGGACTGAAGCTCGACTTGGGTGTCGAACAGACTCAGTCCTGGCCATTGCCTGCCACCATACCATGGAAACGGGTCTCCATGCGCGAATGGCAGGATGCTGTAACTCCTTGCCCAGCGAAGGCACACAGTTCAACACAGTGGCTGAAGGATTTTTCAAAATTCTTTGAGAACAGCCTGAACGGCCATGTTCAAGGTAATGCGGGGGGCCAACTCCCTTCTCAATGCTTTGGCCGTGCGCAGCGGCTTTCGCCTGCTAAAGCCCAACCAACACTCATAAGCCCCAAGCCACATAGACCTGGGGAAGAGCCTCTTCGCCACGGCTTGCTCTGCCTAGAAGTAAAACAGTGGTATCGCCAGTTACGCCGCATTCAGAACCTTCATTATGCCCTGCGTAGCGGTAAATCCACGGCAGAGGCCATGGCAAACAAATTGCATTTGTGGAGAGCCATTTTGGACTCCACGGGTTTTCGGGATGGCTTTCAAGCCTGGTATGCCACAAGACGGGTTAAATTTCAGGGAATGCCTCCCCAGCTGCCAGCATGCCTGCCTTCTCCTCAGTTCGCCTGTCAGTTGTTCGAGGATTTTCTTGAGAACTTCAGACGATTTGAGTCCTGGCATGCCAGTCAAAGGGGCCAAATTCTGAAGGCGCAGTATGAGGAACAGCGCAACCTTCTGTACCGCGACCTGCGGGATCCGGCGCCGGATCAAGTCGATTTGTTGGTGAACCAACAAACGTTTTCGGCGGTTGCAGTTGATGTGCCATCAAGGCAACTGCTGCTAGACGAACCCGTGCGCCACAAGGGCCAAACCACCTGGTCAACTGATGGCCAGCAAGTCGAGGTTCAGGTGCAAGGTTCAGAGGTGGTCACTGTTGAGGCAGGCTGTCCTTTACATGTGGACATGGAGCTTGACCAGACGGTGGTCGTGTCATCCACAAAAGCCATCCTTGAAGAATTCGAAATGTTTTGGCGCCGGAGATGGAACAAACCCCAAGGTGTACAGGATTGGGACCGCCTCCAGGCTTTTGCCTCTGCCTTTTTCACGCGTTTTAAGATCCAACTTCCTCTTATTAGTGTATGTGTTTGGAGGGACGCCCTGCGACGATACAAGCCACGGGCCGCCCGAGGGCCGGATGCCTGGAGTCATTATGACTTGCGGAATATGGCGGATGTCCAAGTGCAACAGCTCCTTGACTTCCTTCACAGAATCGAGCGCCAAGAATGTCCCTGGCCAGAACAATGGCTTCTCGGCCTGGTAATCAGCCTGCTAAAGCCAGGCAGAACGCCGCGTGAAGTGAATGCCTTCAGACCGATTGTCATCTTGTCCACGATTTATCGCACATGGGCTTCAATCCGAGCCCGGCAGGTCCTCAAAGCAATGGAACCCCACATGCCACAGGGAACCCTCGGGTTCATGCCGGGTTGAGAGGCCACCTCCATGTGGTTTCAACTGGAGGCTCAGATCGAAGCCTCACAGCAGGCTGACGCGGGACTTTGTGGATTCTCCACGGACGTCATTAAAGCTTTTGAGTCTCCCAAGAGGCCCGCTGCTACAGGTGGCGAGTCGCGTGGGGGTGCCTGAGACTTTAACTAAGCCATGGGAGTCATTCCTGCAAGGCCTGGTCAGACGTTTTGTGGTGCGCAAGTCAGTGGGTGGACCGGTCGTGGCCTCTTCGGGTTTTCCGGAAGGGGACCCTCTTAGCCCCTGCGCGATGTGTGTGGCCGTCCTGGTCTTCCATCGGTATATGGAAGTGTATGAGCCCCGGTTAAGTGCATCTTCATACGTTGACAATTGGGCTCATACTGCCGCCGCAGCCTCAGTGGTCGCACGCGGAATATTTTTAGCACAGTGTGTTTGTGACTTACTGGCGTTGGATTTGGACATGGACAAATCATATGTGTGGAGCCTTTCGTCGCATGACCGCAAGGCACTCCAGGTGCTCAATCTCCCAGTCCACTCGCAAGCCCGGGAGTTAGGGGGCATCCTATCTTTTCAGAAACGCACCCGCAATGCCTTGTTGGTCGCACGATGTCAAGAGCTTGAACCCTTATTTCAAAAACTGCGGCGGTCACCTGCGCCACTGTGGCAAAAGTTCCAATGCCTGGCGACCAAGTTTTGGCCGAAGGCCCTGCATGGGATATCCGCTTGCCCTTTGGCAGGTAATCACTTGACACGCTTGCGAACACAGGCGGCCAGGGCTCTCAAGTTACTGTCGGCCGGCAGCAATGTTGCACTGCGACTCAGTGTGGAAGGAGATTTGCTTGTGGATCCGGGTTTCTATGAGCTTTGGTGTACGGTAAGCACCGCCCGCCGAATGCTCCGAAAGCACCGCCATTTGCTTCCGCTTTGGCAAGGCTTTATGAATGCCTTTAATGGCAAATTGTATCATGGCCCGTTCAGCAAGTTGATCACTGTTCTGTCTCAGGTAGGTTGGCACATCGGGAATCCTCCTCTCTTGATGGACCACCTTGGGCTGCGTCACTGTTTGCTTTCCACACCAAAACCGTTGCTCCGGTTGCAGTTGGAACATGCTTGGCTTCAGCACATAAGTAACCTGGTACGACATCGCAAAAGTTGCGAGGATCTGTATGGAAATGAGCCAGGCCTCCTGCAACTGGACGTTCCCAAGATGTCCGCCTTGGATGCGGGCTTTGCAATCGGGAGCTTTTGTTTCAGGTTCGGAGCACGCTGCACATGACCGCAGTCGTGATGGCCTCTGCCCACAATGTCAAGTTCCGGACACCAGACAGCATAGAGTCTGTGTATGCCCACGCTTTGAGGGATGTAGGCCACCCGGGGTTGATGTGGTAGGAATGTGGGAGGCTTCCCCAAAATGTGTTAGGCACCACCTACTGCCTTCAGCGAACCCACACTTGGGGGCCTTTAAGGCATACCTACATACATTGCCGGACGGCACGGGAAACTTCGCCTGTGCAGCCGAAGACCGCGCACGCCATCATGTGTTCACAGATGGGAGCTGTTTCCAGGAAAGCTTCCCGGGCTTCAGTTTGGCAGCATGGGCTGCGATCAGCGCGACCACTGGGAAAATCATTGGCTGCGCCCCAGTACATGGGGTTCTTCAGACCGCGCCTAGGGCAGAAATCATGGCCATCATCTGTGTTCTTAAGTGGGCAGTACGTTGGCAGGTTCAGGTTACCATTTGGTCGGATGCTTTGCATGTTGTACAACGGGCACAGGCCCTTCTGGATGGTGGCCATCTTCCGGATGATATCGGCAATGACGACCTCTGGACAGAAGTTACACACTTGATCAACTTGACGCCGGAGGGTGCCGTTGCCGTACAGCATGTTCACTCGCATCTGGACTCCACACTGCTGACCTCTCCTCTTGAAGACTGGCTGAAGGAGTGGAACGACAAGGCGGATCGGGCAGCAGTTGCCGCTAACCAGAACCGAAGCACAGCGGCGACAGAGATGTTCCGAGAAGCACTGCAGCACCACCAGGGGATGGTAGCACAGATTCGAGTCTGGCGGGACATATACTTCCGGATTGCAGCAATCACTTTGCATGATCACCCAGTGTGTCAGTTGGAGGAGGTTGATGATTTAGACTGGCCTGAACGAGTGATCGATTGGCACCCCAGAACGGACATTGTCGCGGAACGTCTTCCGGTCAACTGGCATCTGCAAGCTAGAACGGTCTGTCACATGTTTCCCGAAGATTTCATTGAGAGTTTGCTGCAAAAGCTGATACAGATTGATGGGGTCTCAACTTGTGCCGCCAAGGTGTCATGGCTAGAGTTGTTGTTTTTGGTGAGTTCTACTTCTGAAGTGGTTTTTCCTGCAGTATGTCCTAGTACAGGAGGCTGGATCTCAGCAAAAGATGTACCTTTTCGAACAAGTTTGCATGCGGCTGTACAGCTTCGTTTTATCCGCGCAGTTTGCACCAGGGCTTTCAGGCTAGCAGGGCTTTCGGACGTTCTCTGTACTGAGGTGGACGTTACGGATTTCGGGGTTAGTATGCCGATGGGTGGTTTGTGGTTGGGTTTCTCAGAAGCTCACATGCAAGCAGCCAGACAGCGCCTGGTGCTCTTTACAAGGGCTCGGCCAGTCCGCACAATGTCGGATTTGGCAAGGCCCATCTAGGCTTGCCCAACACGGGCTTTCGAGGACCTAAGGATTTGTTCTGGCTGCGCCGCTCGACTGCGCACCAGAGCGCTCAACGTGTGTGCTATACTTCCCAAGGTTTAGGATGCTTGGGGACGCCTGAGTCTTAGTATCGAGCGTTGCTAGATTGCTAGGTGTTGTCCGGGAAATTATGACAATTAAGCACAGGAAACTAGCCCTTTCCCCTATTAGGTAAACACCCCCAACCCCCTTAGTATCAGACTTTATCTGAAGTAGCCCCGGACAACATATTTAACATTACAGGGTGGAGGATGTCAAATGTAGGGGGAAAGGATAGTACCATAGCTCCCACGTTGTCATTTCTAGAGCTTCTCTTCCCCCGGACCCCAAAGGCCTCAACTCTAAACCCTAACCCCTCATCGCTAAATCCCGCTGATCCCTGGTTCCTGTCCCTGAAGCCTAAATCCCAAAACCAAATCTTGAGACCTAACCGTAAAACCATGTGCTCATAAGGTGACCTGATCCTCAGCATCAACGGCAAGCCCGTAACAAAGCCACACGCTCCTGAGACTACAATTGCTCAAGTTAGGGACCAAGGAATTCACGGCCGAGTGGCCCAATAAGTCTCAGCGTTTGGGGATCAGTTTTTTTTTCGGGTTCAGCATTAGTTGTTAATCGTCTTATGTAGACAGAGACTAACTGGGTACCACTTCCTGTACAATACGCAGGACCCTATCATTTCAGGCCAGTGCGCTATGCAGGCTTACACAGTTCAAGGGCATAGCAGGCCTGCGAATACGTATCAACGACAGCGGCGACGGTGGCGGCGGCCACAACAGTTGCCGCCGCCACCGCCTTCGCCCACCGCTACCGCGACCGCCGCCACCTCCACAACCTCCACAATCTCCAGAAGGATTGGGACATAGGTACAGGCACGATATTAAAAGGACCGCCACCGTCCTATTTTCTGTTAATTATCTACTAACTACCCGGAAGTAGCTTTGAATATCGAATCCCGACACCATACGCCTTGAACCCTAAACCTAAACCTTGACCCTAAAGGGGTTAGGGTTTAGGGTTTAGAGTTCAACACTTAAACCTTAAGCCCCAAACCTCCAACCCTAAACCTTGTCCTGTTAAACCTAAGCCCTAAAGCCTAAACCCTAAACCTAGTCATGGCTAAATCCAAGGAGGTGGAGAGAGAGATGCGGAAGTGCCACATTGCGCAGTCCGAGGCTGTCAGAGTGAGGGTTGGCTTAGGGTTTAGGGTTTGGGGTTTGGGGTTTAAGGGTTAGG